TTTATGCTGAACTTTTCATTAAGCTTTTCACTGACATTTAGCATTCAAACTTTTCATTAAATTTCACTATTTTAGTAAAAATAAACAGTGAACAATGGGATAAGATACTCATATGTGATGGTTTGATCTTAATTGCTTACTGAGCAATTACAAATGGAAATAGGATGACATTGGGATGTGTTTCCTGTTTAGTGTCAAGGCTTATATTAAATGTGTGCTATGTGAAGTGGAATCCCAGAAGGACCAACAGTATGTTGGATCCAATTCCAACCACAGTTGTTTAGAAAGTCAGTTAGTGTTTAAGAATAAGGAAGTGCATTAAGGTTACTGGCTAAGTATTGTCACTGACTCATGATGCTTGACTACTATGCATCCTGTTTAATCTTGGAGGATCCCAGTTTCAAATCTTCTATACCACTTAACTTAAGGGAAAATGAGTCTCAACTATTGATGGAATGAATAATGGGATCCATGTGTCTTTTTCAGTTTACAATAGCTAGAACATGGAAGCAACCTAGATGTCCATTGACAGATGAATGAATAAAGAAGTTGTGGTACACATACACAATGGAATATTACTCAGCCATAAAAAGGAATAACTTTGAGTCAGTTCTTATGAGGTGAATGAACCTAGAAACTATTATACAGAGTGAAATAAGTCAGAAAGAGAAAGATAAATACTGTATTCTAACACATATATATGGAATCTAGAAAAATGGTACTGAAGAATTTATTTGCAGGGCAGCAATAGAGAAACAGATATAGAAAACAGACTTATGGACATGGGGAGAGGGGAGGAGAGGATGAGATGTATGGAAAGGGGAACATGGAAACTTACATTACCATATGTAACATAGATAGCCAACAGGAATTTGCTCTCTGGCTCAGGAAACTCAAACATGGGCTCTGTATCAACCAAGACGGGTGGGATGGGGAGGGAGATGGGAGGGAGGTTCAAAAGGGAGGGGATATATGTATACCTATGGCTGATTCATATTGAGGTTTGACAGAAAACAACAAAAGTCTGTAAAGCAATTATCCTTCAATTAAAATATAAATTAAAAAAATATTGATGGATAAAATATAGTCAACTTGTGTGAATAATCATTTTGAAAAAAATTTTTCCTCTGTTTTTCCTCAAATGTCTAAAAGAAGAAATGATGGGATTGAGAAATAATTGTATTTCTGTTCATTTTTTCCTTCTAATTATTTTATATATGAAAGAGACTGAGTGGAAATCGCATCTGTATTTTGTTCTTACATAGGTTTTTTTTTTTCCTAAAAAATTAGTAAATTTAAGGAAAGATTAACAAATACTTTTACAATAATAAAAACAAAACCTTAGGATGTAATACAGTAGGAATTATATGATATATTTATCTTCATTTATCTGAGTTAACAGATAACAAAAAAAGATATAAAAAGCTATAATCAATGTATCACAGTTTTTATCATTTTCTCCAAAATACACACTAGTACCCAAGTAATTCATATTCTCCACAACAGAATAGGTCTCTAAAGGAAAGCTGTCAAGGCCATTTTTTAATTTGAATCTGGTAATATTGTTTTTAAATTATTGTTTTCACTATAGTCAACGAAAAGCCTCATGGTGAATCAGGTGTGTTCAAATCTTAGCTTTAGCATTTGCTAGCTGGATGACTGTGGTTATTTTATTTAATCTGTTCATATCTGGATTTCCTCATCTATTAAGGAGTGAAAATAATGTGCTTACATTTTAGGGTTATTTGTAAGAATTATAAAAGACTCAGATATAATAAGGACATACTAAAATATATTATTTTGCTTGCCTGTAGTCAGTGATTTAATAGTAAATACATTGAGGACCTAGACAAATTTTGGAAAAGTGAGTATGGATTTGGCCAGTGAGATTTCACTGAATCACAGAAGGTGGTTCATAACCACTCTGGCTATGTCCTGAAGGATGGTCAGTTTCTAAATACCTGCCTTTGTGCTGAGGAACTAGTGGCTGCATTATTTTATTTTCTGCCACAGCACTTTTCTTTCCAGTTTGAACAGAAAAACGGAGCAAGTAACATGAGCTATACTGCTTAGAAAACCTTTCTCCTGGGAGACAGTGCAAGGCTGGCTGGGTTTCTCTCCACAGCACCGCTCTAGTTTTGCTGCAACCTGGTTCCTTTGTACACACCAGAGGGCCTTCACATGACCAGTTTTCCTTATCTCCAAAAAACATACCAGAAACACCTTAATTTTGAATGGAAAGAACTGGTGTTTACCAGAACAATCTGAAAAACAGATCCTTGTTAATTATTATACAAGTATTAATCCTGTCCAACAGCTCAGATGTACAGAAAGTTCTTGAAGGTGTAACAATGATAGTATTAAAGCTAAAATTTACTAAGGGCTTTCTCTAGACCAGGCCTAGCACTACATTCCTTAAAGATTTTTATTTTAATCCTAACAACAATCTGGTCAATTTTTATTACTCCTATTTTCTCCAGTGAGAAAATGAAAGCTTAGTCAATTTGATAAACTTGCCCAAGATAAATCAAGGCACTGAACTTAAAGTCAAGCCTTTTTTAACTCTAAAATCTCTGTACTTTAGTAGTATATTTCCTCTCAGGTATTTCCTAGGGGATATATGTATTTAATTACTACATGGAAAAAATCTACTTGGTAAATTACTACCAAGTTATATTGCCACACTATGGTTTTGGGGTTATCAACCAACTCCTTTCCATTTATTTTCTCAATTTCACCTTCTTAATGTGATACAGTATTTCAGAGCAAATGAAAGAATGGAGATTGTATTGTGTATAACTGTTATGTTTACAGAGCTCTGAAGGTCAATGTGATAAATTTATTTATGTCTTCACCAAATATTTATTAAGAAGGGTCAGTATAGACCAGGCATATATCAGAGAAAAAAATGCATAAATATAATTACAGCCTTTTGCTCCATATTGTTCCTCAGTGAATGGGATGAATTATTTTGCATACAGTGTCCCGATTAATACACTATTAATATGCAACTTTAACCTGACCTTTCTAAACGTCATTCATTTGCCATCTGAAAATTTCAGAGAGTAACAGAGGGGAAGAGATTTACACCTTAATGATAAAAGACTAACCTATGGCAATTTTGCCTTAAATTCCCTTTAACATTTTCCTTATGCTCAGAAAAAGTGTATGAATGCCTGCACTATAAGACTTTCTCTTCTTTAAAAAAAAAGTTTTTAAGTTTTCATTTCTAATTTTTAATTTTAATACTCTGAAATATTCCACTCAGTAATTGACTTGGGCTGAGGCTTTATGTGAAGTAAGGAACCCTGTGGTTCTGATCAAGAATGTGTATTGTTTTTCAGTGTGGTCTTTACATATGGAAAATGCAGCATGTTCTTTCTGAATATCAAATGTGTTTTATATAATTTATGTGGCTATTTTCATTAATTTTGGGTGGCATATTATTGTTACTTTTAATTAACTTCAGTAAGTATAAAAATACTATTACATAGTATATATTTATAAGAATCTATTTACCCTTATTAATTTATGTTTTGTGTTTCCAAATAAAATTGACTATCATAAATAGGCTGTGTCTTGTGTTATTTTACTGTTAGTAGTAATGCAATTGTGTTGTCCTATACACATTTTTCTCTTTGGGACCAATTGCAAAGAAATTGGTGCAAGTTTGGAGTGTTATCTATACCTCTGTAAAGCCCATTGAGAACAAGGCCCTGTAGATAAAGCAGCTGATCTGACATTTAAACAGGAAGGCACTTAAATAATGTGCTCATTTTCTCTAGGTGCTCTCAAGATTTCTCTTTGTATTTGCTTTCACCTAAAAGATAAACACATGTGTTTTATTTAATACTTAAAAAGTTTGCCACTTTACTAACGTTGATTATTTTGTTCACTGTGCCTAATTCAATCGGGGATGGCCTCCTTTCTGATGCAAAGAAAACAAGTGATGTCATTGTCTGAAATGTCTATTTTAGGAGTTCTCTGGCAACAGAACCTTGTTTAGCATTGTAAGTGACAGACACTACATTACCATCTAAAGAACTTTTTCTCACAATTTTAAAAAGAAGAAATCATGATGCAAAGTATAAGTATGTTGTAAACCATAATCCTGGTGTTCGCTACTGTCTTTTACAGTTACTTATTTGCTGTGCCATTTCACCCTTTTCATGACAAAAATCTGTTCAAAGCCTGAAAGTTACGTCTCATTTATCTTTTCATTTCTACCATTCAACACAGTGTTCTCAGTTTAGAGAATAAATGAATAATATTAATACTGAGTTATTAAGCATCTGTGAAATCCTATTTTTAACATTGTCTTATGCAGTAATTCTTCTGACCTAAGTTTTTTCAGTATATTATTTGATGTTTTTAGATTATGCCTGGTATGCCTGAATTAACAGTTGTTTTCTACCTTTTATATACATGGAAAATTTTTTTAACATTATTTCTATTACTTTAACTAACATGGAATGAGTTACACAAAATGATACATACAGTTATTTTCAGAAATTTCTATTCCAAGTAAAATAAATTAACTATAACATTTAGAATTATTAAAAAGTATTTGTTCCATTTTGGGGAGGCAGAATGAAACTATGACTAACTATCCTCATATCTAGACACCGTCATCTGCTCTGATTCATGTATTCAGCAAAATTTCAGTAAATCTCACTATGATTAAAATCTGTTAGGTTCCTTGATGTCAATTGCATTTTATGAGTCAAAGATTATCATATATATCCTGAATAATAATGCCATTTTTAAAGGATGGCATTTATCTCTCTTCATAAAAAAGACATCATGATATCATTTAGTAAAAACTATAAATACCATTAGTATTGCTTCTTATAGTTTATGCTTAAAAGGAATGTGGCAACATTGATTTCATTGTGTAAATATTCTTTAGATTAATTGCAAGGAAGGCAATTTTGTATTCCAATATGCACTCAATTCACTGGCTGGGATTCATTGATTCATTACCCAAATTTTTATTCCAGGCCCTCCAGGCCCTCCAGGTGGTCTGCGAATAGAAGACATTAGAGCCACTTCTGTGGCACTTACTTGGAGCCGTGGTTCAGACAATCATAGTCCTATATCTAAGTACACTATCCAGACGAAGACTATTCTTTCGGATGATTGGAAAGATGCAAAGACAGGTGAGTTCATTTGTTTGATTAATCTGTTCATGTTTTGAGATGAATTCTTTTTTATTATCTACCCTGTAATTTTCTTTAAAAAAATTATTTTTTTAGTAACCCTACACTTTGGTAGTAAACAAAACCACAACAAACTAAATGTTTTAAAGCTATAAGGGAAGAAGCAGAGTGTCTAATCTATTAATATAATGGGGGAGCAAAGAGAGGCCTCCTGGGTTTCTTATTTAAGCTATGTATAAGTCTAAGATATATTAGGAAAAAAGTATAGAGGAGGTGTTTTTGGGAAATGATATCTATAATATTATTTATCACCTTTTTATACAATTACATAGGTACTATACTTCTGCATAAAAAAAAGACACAGTTGATCATAAAGATTAAACACTTAAATCTTACTACCATAACTCAGTATGCTCCTGTCTGGCTTGAATTTCCTCAAAACAGGTTTTATAAAAGAAGTTTAGTACCTCAACTGTTTTTCCCCTCATATTTTATTCAGATTTTCTAAAAGAAAAAAAAAATTCTAAGAGTAAGTGGGTACTTTCCCTCGTGTAGAAGTTATTACCATTGTCATTTGTTATCGCTAGTCTTCAATATCACACACTAGCTTATTTTCTCATAGATATCAAAGAAGATGGAGGATTGTTTTGATAAAATAAGGCTGTTTTATCCTTGTCATTGTTGACAATATTTCTAACCAAACTTGTAGTTATCAGAATTTATTTTAGATGCATAAGCAAGAGGCATAAAATATGGCTTTTGTTGTCACAAAGGGGAGAAAAAAAGACAAAAGTAGATAGAATGTTCCTTTAAAAACAACAACAACAAGAATTAGTCCCAGCATAACTTAAACCTGCTCATTTTAATCTTTACATAATGGAATTTATTTGTTTGCTCCCTGAGAAGTTTTAATTTAAATTCACCTTTTTAGGATAATGTCTTCTTATCATGGGAATTAATGAAATATAAATTTGAAATCTATAACAAGGGTTTAGGATACATTTTAGGGCTTCTCAGGTAGCTCAGTTGGTAAAGAATTGACCTGCAATGCAGGAGACCCTGGTTCAATTCCTGGATTGAGAAGATCCTCTGGAGAAGAGATAGGCTACCCACTCCAGTATTCTTGGGCTTTGCTTGTGGCTCAGACAGTAAAGAATCTGCCTGAAATGTGGGAGACCTGGGTTTGATCCCTGGGTGGGGAAGATACTATTGAGGAGGGCATGGCAGCCCACGCCAGTTTTCTTACCAGGAGAATTCCCATGGACAGTGGAGCCTGGTGGACTACAATCCATGGGATTGCAAAGTGTTGGACACAACTGAGCGACTAAGCACAGCACAGGATATATTTTAGTATTAAACAATTCTCTACAGTACCTGAATGGCCTAGTGGTTTTCCCTACTTTTTTCAACTTAAGTCTGAAGAAAGAAAATTTATAAAACTCAGCAGTTGCCACAGGACTGGAAAAGGTCAGTTTTCATTCCAATCCCTAAGAAAGGCAATGCTAAAGAATGTTAAAACTATCACACAATTGCACTCATTTCACATGCTAGCAAGGTCACTCTCAAAATCCTCTAAGCTAGACTTCAACAATACCTGAACTGACAATTTAGAGCTGTACAAGCTGGTTTTAGAAATGGCAGAGGAACCAGAGGTCAAATTGTCAACATCCGTTGGATCATAGAAAAAGCAAGAGAATTCGAGAAAAATATCTACTTCTGCTTCATTGATTATACTAAAGCATTTTACTGTGTGGATCACAACAAATTGTGAAAAATTCCTCAAGAGATGGGAATACCAGGCCATGTAAACTGCCTCCTGAGAAACCTGTATGCAGGTCAAGAAGCAACAATTAGAGCTGGACATGGAACAACAGACTGATTCAAAATTAGTAAAGGAGTACATCAAGGTTGTATATTGTCACCTTGCTTATTTAACTTCTATTCAGAGTACATCATGCAAAATACTGGGCTAGATGAAGCATAAGCTGAAATCAAGATTGCCAGGAGAAATATCAGTGACCTCAGACATGTAGATGATATCACCCTAATCGTAGAAAGCAAAGAGGAACTAAAGAGCCTCTTGATGAAGGTGAAAGAGGAGAGAGTGAAAAAGCTCTCTTAAAACTCAGCATTCATAAAGCATCCAGCTCCATCACTTCATGGCAAATAGATGGAGAAACAATGGAAATAGTTACAGTCTTTATTTTCTTGGGCTCCAAATCACTGTGGATGGTGACTGTTGCCATGAAATTAAAAGACTCTTTCTCCTTGAAAGAAAATCTATGAAAAATCTAGACAGAGGATTAAAAAGCAGAGACATCATTTTGTTGACAAAAGTCCGTCTTGTCAAAGCTATGGTTTTTCCAGTAGTCGTGTATGGATGTAAGAGTTGGACCATAAAGAAGGCTGAATGCCAAAGAATTGATGCTTTCAAATTGTGGTGTTGGAAAAGAGTCCTGAGAATCCCTTGGACTGCAAAGAGATCAAACCAGTCAATCCTAAAGGAAATCAAGCCTGAATATTCATTGGAAGGACTGATGCTGAAGTTCCAATCCTTTAGCCACCTGATGAGAAGAGCTGACTCATTGGAAAATACCTTGGTGTTGGAAAAGATTGAAAGTAGGAGGGAAGAGGAGAACAGAGGATGAGATGGTTGGATAGCACCACCGACTCAATGGAAATGAGTATGAGCAAACTCTGGGAGATGGTGAATGACAGTGAAGCCTGGTGTGCTGCAGTCCATGGGGTCGCAAAAAGTTGAACACACTGAGTGATTCTGTATATAAGTTAAAGAAGTTCAAATGAATTAGAAACAAGTGAAACATTTTTATTACATTATGCTTGTGAGTATAAGAATTATCTATAAACATACGTGGCAAAATCCAACCATTTGAAAAACAATTTTTAAACCATTTATATATTTGATAAAATAATCCACAAGCAGTTTCTGCTTCTCCAAATAGAATGAAAATGGGTGACAGTGATAAAACAGTAGATGATCTTTGATATCCAGTCAAATTGATGTTAATCATGAGAAACGCTGGGCTGGAGGAAGCACAAGCTGGAATCAAGATTGCCAGGAGACATATCAATAACCTCAGATATGCAGATGACACCACCCTTATGACAGAAAGTGAAGAAGAAATAAAGAGCCTCTTGATGAAAGTGAAAGAGGAGAGTGAAAAAGTTGGCTTAAAGCTCAACATTCAGAAAACTAAGATCATGGCATCCGGTTCCATCACTTCATGGCAAATAGATGGGGAGACAATGGAAACAGTGAGAAACTTTATTTTTTTGGGCTCCAAAATCACTGCAGATGGTGATTGCAGCCATGAAATTAAAAGACGCTTACTCCTTGGAAGGAAAGTTATGACCAACCTAGGCAGCATATTAAAAAGCAGAGACATTACTTTGCCAACAGAGGTCCATCTGGTCAAGGCTATGGTTTTTCCCAGTGGTCATGTATGGATGTGAGAGTTGGACTATAAAGAAAGCTGAGTGCCCAAGAATTTATGCTTTTGAACTGTGGTATTGGAGAAGACTCTTGAGAGTCCCTTAGACTGCAAGGAGATCCAACCAGTCCATCCTAAAGGAGATCAGTCCTGGGTGTTCGTTGAAAGGACGGATGTTGAAGCTGAAACTCTAATACTTTGGCCACCTGATGCTCAGAGCTGACTCATTGGAAAAGACCCTGATGCTGGGAAGGATTGAGGCGGGGAGGAGAAGGGGACAGCAGAGGATGAGATGGTTGGATGGCATCACCGACTCAATGGAAATGGGTTTGTGTGGACTCCGGGAGTTGGTGATGGACAGGGAGGCCTGGCGTGCTGTGGTTCATGGGGTTGCAAAGAGTCAGACACGACTGAGCGACTGAACTGAACTGAACTGATAGATACTGGAGAGCAAATGAAATACACATATGTTTAAAATTTGGTTTGGCTTTGAGAAAGGAATAATAATTGCAATCATCTCCATTAACCATGTATGCTTACTATATAGCTCAATAAAATATGCTTCTCACTAAAAAAATTATTCTATTATAAATTATGTTTCATGAGAAGGAAGACTTTTGTTTGATTCACTATTCTATCCCTGGCTATGCATACATATTGAGCTCCCATTGTGTGTCTGAACCTGTCCTAGATGCTGGATTCATAATTGACCAGCTGTGAGTAAATGAGAGAGAGAAAAAAAAACCAACCCCAAACCAAATGCCATAGCTCTATCTTTAAAGAGCTTACATTCTACTAGGAGAGATTGTAGTAAGCAACTAACTAAAATGTAAAGTAAGTCACATGGTGTTTAGTACTAAAAAAAAAACTACAGAGAAGGGATATAGGGAAGCAAAAGTTGCATTTGAATAGGGTGCTTCTTATATTAGCATGGCCGCTTCTGTTTGTTATGGTTCCTGTTTTCGTGTTATATCTTTCACAATTGCCAACCTATTTGTATATTTGAATCTAAAGTATATTTTCTGTTGACAGCATATCATTGGATCTTATTTTACATCTAGCCCTACAATCTCTGCTTTTTGATTAGAGTATTTAATCCATTAATATTTGATATTATCACTGGTGTAGTTGAATTTATATTTGCCTGATATTTTTGCCTTCTAAATAGTTCATGTTTATGTATTTCTATTCCTTCTTTATTGCTTTCTTTTGTATTATGACTATTTTCTAGCATAAAAACTTAACTAATTTAATGAAATTCTCTAAATATAAAAACTTAATGATTACTCTAGAGCTTACCTGATTTACCTGAGTTTATCAGAATAATCTTCATATTTTTACCAACAATATCAGTGAGATATAGAAACATTGCCTTTAAGGGTGATCTCTCAGCACTCTTCTGCTTCCAAACTTTATTGAATACATCTACAAAAAAGAACTGGGCAACAGGAAAAGACTCTCCTTTATCTTCCAGGGATTCAAAAAAGTCATGCCAGCTTGCACTCTGTCTTTAAATATCTATGAAAAGTTAAACTGAGTTTTTCTTTT